TTTTAATTCTAATATATTTTAAACTCCTTCCTAGTGAACTTTTGAAAACAAAATGTTGGTGTCTCCAGGTGGGATAGCGGTAAGTCTACTGACTTACAATGCTAAAATCCCAGGCTCGATTCCCCGCAGTGGACATAGCAGAGAGCCCAATGTGACTTTTCTCTAAAAGAAACAAACAAAATGTTGGCTTTAATCGTGATCAAAATTTAAACTTTGGAACGTATTCCGAACATCTTTACAGCAAAGTTTGATGCTAAAGTATTGGTTGTAATATTATTCTACATTCAACCCTTGGAACACATTCCGCACTCCTTCGCATTAATCTTTTGAAACGCTCACACATTGTTTTTCAAATTTTGATTACCTTGAAACCATATAAAAACAATTCATATATCTTCACGGCAGTCTGTTTAAAATGGAAGCTTGGTTTTATTATTTACCAACTTTAAAACTTTTGAATATACTGAACACACTTCAACAACCTTCATATGACACTGAAACCTTAACTGTAACATCCATTAACATTTAACCATTGAAAAACATTTTAGCTTTCTTCACTGTGATCTTTCAATACAGAATCTTCTTTACACATTTTTTCTAATACTGATCAAAATCTCACCTTCGGATTTTTTGAAATTGATTTTTTCGAGATTATAGCTTTAAACGTTAAATCTTGGAAGAAACAATCCGTATTGTTATTTCAAAATTGACAGGTATCTTAGGCGCACATAAGATTAACGGCCAGGTCAGAGACCCCTATGAGGGTCAACTGTAGCCGTTCTTAATTTAGATTACTAACCAACCAGTAGGAAGGCAGGCAGTCAGCAACTTCCACTGCCCCGGGGGCTTTTTTTTCCGGCTACTGGAACTGAATAACGAGATTGAATGCCACTTTTATAACACGCCCATAGCTGAAAGTGCAGATCTTGTTTAGCGGCATCACGCCCAGGCCTTCGAATCTTATGGAACATCCTAACCTCTGAGCCACGCCCTGCCCTCGACGCAACAAAAACAACATTACAGTTAGTGACTGTATTGAAAAGTAATGTCATACCACATAAACAACGTAAGCAACGTAGTAAAGAGATAATCTTATTATAATGGATGTAGCGTGTATGTTAGTAGTTATATATGTAACCAAAACTCCTGGACCACAAACAAAATTCCATAACAAATTTCACACTTTGGGCATTCAAGATTCTGATAATTAGAAAAATGACTATAGTATGTGAAACAACCATTTCTTTATAATAGAACACAATTGTAAGTAATAGTACTCTCCTCACAACAAGAACACGACTTTTACTAGGACTGTACGTAAGGGTTTGATTATATATATCTTTATTGGTGTAATTTTAAATGTAGTACTGAAAAACTGGAGTTCTTAAAAAGAAATCTAGTATTTTTGCATTAAACGGGACCACTTTTAATATATAAAAACATTACAGTTTATATCAGTAAAACTTATGAAAATTTTGAGCTCTGTACATTGAATCATTTTGTTGCAATGAGTTACGTTTGACTAAAGAGCATAATCTGAACACCTTTCCCGTGCAGCACTTCCCAGAAAAAAATACTTTTTTTTAGAAAATGTTTACTTTTTCTAATTATTTTCTCGAATGAGGTATGACAACTACGATTAGTAATTACTAGCATAAACAACCGCGCATAGGGCGGCGTTTCTGCCTGTATCAATAATGACTCTTCTACAGGTGTAGAGGTTAATCAATTAAATACTTTATTAACAGATTATTTCAAATAAAGTGGTTCCCGATGGCTCAGAGTTAAGTCAGAGGGCTTGTAACATTAAAAACTGAGTTTCGATACCCCAAATAGCCCATTGTGTAGCTTTGTGCTTAACAACAAACAAAACAAAAGAAACACATGAAGTGATTTCCATTTTTCTTTTTTTTAGAAAATTAGTTATTCCAAATTAGTAGTATGTTATTCAAGAGTTACTTCCTGTATTTACCTGTTCAATAGTCATTCCATGGTCAAGAATGAAAATATCTTAAAAAATCAACTCAAGTGAGGTTTAAAATACGTACAAATGTGATTTAAGAGTTTGACTTTCAAGGAATCTGACAGATATTTAGTCACTATCCAATATTTCAACGGTTTCTGTGATATGAAATAATAGTGACGAATCTAACTGTCTAACCATATGCTTTTAAATTTATTAAAAAATCAAGTCTTGCTTGCCACGATAATATTTAATACTCTTTCGTTTAATATTATTCGTCTTCTTTCCCCGATAAAGAATTTCGACCGAAAATATCAACTAACAGTTAATGTACCCAGTTGATGAATCCAAGTATTCTAATCACGATGCTGTTAAATTAAATAAAAATATATATTAAATTAGTTACATTGTTACCCAGCTGATGAATCTAAGTATTCTAATCACGATGCTGTTAAATTAAATAAAAATATATATTAAATTAGTTACATTGTTAACTGGGTCAATTTTAGTTCTGTCCCATGTATAGGTAGCTTACTTTGATCAAAAGCTACTGATAACTAGTGTTAAAGATGAAGATTTTAAATAAACTTTTTGATCAGTAGTTACCATGCTAGATTATGAGTTCGACTATCCTTCGTTTACGTCCCGTCACAGCAAAAACTAAAAATAAATCTCACTCGAAATTTTGAGACAGTGTGTGTGAGTTATAAGCATGACAGTCAAAGCACACTATTCGGCGAGAAAAGAATAAGCAGTAAGTGCTGTTGGCTAGCTACTTTCCCTCTAGTCTATTAGTGTCCCCCGATGGATCAGCAGTAACTTTACAAACTTACAAAATCCCCATCGGTGGCCAGAGAGCAGGTAATCTATTGTGTAGCTTTGCTTTAATAACAATAATAGAAAAGACAAGTATATCAGTAGCTTAATGCGAATATCAAAATATCCGAAAACTAACAGACAACTACATTTTGGTACTTTTCCAAATAAAATTATTTTAACCTTTTATTTTAAAAGTGTGAATGAGACATTTATTTTAGATTTTTTTTTTCGAAATTACACAAGAGATATCTGCGCATAGCCATTCTTACTTTAGAAGTAATAGATTAGAAGGAAGGTGGCTAATCAACATCACCCACCGCCAACTCTTGTCTGGCCATATGTAGGAATTGGCCGTTGCTATTATAGCGCATCAAATCCCTAAAGTACCGAGTGCGTTTTTGCGCTAACAGGATACGATCCCCGAAACTTCACATACGATAACGATTAGGCCCTCCTGACTATTTTGAGATGAAGGAATAATTGCTATGTTACAATGTATAACGCACTGAGGCTGATGATCGAACCTGGCGTTTAACAATGATACAATATATCTCTTGTACTACTTACAAATAGCCTTTCAGATATACTTTTGGCTTTCGTAGTCTAGCCCAACCGATGAGTTCTGATATTGAACGAAAGGTCTATTGGACAGTGGCTTGAAATCCGTAAAGAACTAAGTGAGTCAAGCATGATGTAAAAATATTATATTTAACAAATACTACTGTCTTTTTTTTTTACCGTAAAAAGGAAGGGATGAAGGGTTCATTTGAGCCTGTGTCTGTAAGTGACGCTAAGGAACTACTGAAGGGTTCTATTTCAACTTACGTCCGTGTACGACGCAACGGAATTAGCAAGATATTATCTTTCAACCAGGTTCTGTACATGAAACGATCAGGTTAGTGAGAGAAAGAGATGAGTTTCAACCTATTTTTATCATGATACACCGGCGTGTGTTTGACTGAACATGACGAACGGCCGAGAAGAGTGGTTTTTATTTCCACCTCTTTCTAACCATAGAAGAGACGGTGGATTCAAAGAAAGGATAGCTTCCAATCCGTGTATGCCTAACTATGATAAAACTAAGTTGACGAAAGGTTACACTTCAATGTCTGCCCGTATATGACGCAGAATATTTAACGTACTGAATTACATTAACAAAGTCTGCCTGTACATAGCAAAGGATATTTAACGACAGGTTATATTTGAATAGTTTTTGCCTGTACATGATGTGGAATATTTAACGAAATGTTAAACTTTAACAAGGTCTGTCTGTGCATTACATTAAATATTTGATAAAAAGTTGAATTTTAACACCGTTTGGGGAGGAGATATGGGTATGTTTTATTTCCTGCTTGCGTTTAGATATATTTCAATTTGAGGATGAACAAGTCTACATCATAACAGTAACCAATTGTGTTTCAGTATTATGAAGACTTGAGATAATATCCTAATAATATTTATCGTAAATAAATCATTATACTTTTTAAATGTGTGCTGCGTTCTTATAATAAAGCACATGGATAACTTATTTATTAATGAGTATATTATCTGTGTTTAAAAAATCGTTTTATTCTTAGTTAAGCATTGATATGGGTTACCCAATGAAAGGATTGATGTAATTCACCTATTTTTTTCAGTTTGTCGGCTCAAAACAAAGTCCTTAACTTAACATTAAAACTTACCACATCAGCTAAACCTCAACAAACAGAGTTTTAGCTGAAAAATAAGTAATTGTGGAAAATATACACTGTATTTAGTTATTTCTTCCTTTAACATCGAAATGTTATCGTTGTTAACTTAAACACTTCTTTCTTAACTAGTCCATTACGGGTTACAAGGATGAAGCGTGCAGTCATAGTATTTCAACTAAATTTTTCATAACTTATTATCTAATGAGTGTGTTTGTTTGTCGAATTTAGCGCAAAGCGACTCGAGGGCTATCTGTGCTACCCGTCCTTAATTCGGAACGAATGGTAACATTGACCTTCACATTATAACGTCCACATGGTTGAAAGGGCGAGCATGTTCAGTGATGGGATTCGAATTCGCGCCCCGGAGATTGCGAGTCGAGTGTCCTAATCATCAGACCATGCTAGGCCTTATCCATTCGTAGTTTATACACATTACTATTGTTATATTTCTGTTCTTCCTTTTTCTTTTTTTGCATCGAAAGTAAATGTGCTTGGTATTTTGATCTCCTCTTCTCACCAAAAGTAAACCAGTGTAACGAAATAATAAATCGAAAATCCAAGGTAAAGAGTAGACCTTGCGTTTCTTTCTTGTGGAAGATTTCGATTTTGGTGTTGAGAGAAATAAAAAAAAATATTTCATCCAAAGAGAAAAATATGCATATGCAATACAAATCAAAATAGTTCCTTCCTAAAACTAAAAAATAAGTTATGAACGAAGAAAAACTTCAGGGTTTGTAATTAAGCACAAGCGTTGTATCCATACGGTGGCTCGACCGATCATTGGTACTGCAGTCAAACCCAAATATCTTCAATACCGAATCTCTCCCACGTTTATACCAAGACTACCCTGAAGAAACGAAAGTAAATAAACCCTACAATTGAGTAACATTTCTAATTTTAATGATTAAGCTATTCTTGTGTTACATCATCATCATGCATTATTAAATCAAATGTAGAAAGTACTTTGTTTTTAACTGAATCATTAGACTAAAATTGCAGTTTAAAAAAGCATGCGTTTAGTAAATTAGTAGGCACTCACAGGGGTATTGTTAACACTTTTCTGATACTGCTGAGTTCTCCATAGTTACTCTTGTGATATTACATAATATTTGAGTAGCACCACACTCCAAACAAACCTCTTTTGAATATATATGTAGAAAATAGTGCAATTTTTTTAAATTTAAGTTTACAAGGTTTACATGTTTTATACAATGAAGGGGTAATAAAGACTTTTCAGCAGGAAATTGAAGTCAAATTACTGGTCAGTGATGAAAATTTTCCGAAACTTGTTTAACACATTGACATGTGGTAAGTCCAAAAACAGACGGACTTCTCACTTCTTATTATTATTATTTCCTTTTTCTTTTTTTGCAAAAATACACAATTATTGAGAAACATTAAGCTAGTAAATTTCATTTACACGATTAACACTGGACCATTTTAAAGGAAAAATGTTAAAGAAATCTTCATGCAGTAAAATGTTATGTATATATATATTATTTAAGGTTTAAAGTGACTCATATCAACAGATAATTTGAAATGTAAACTATGGCATAAAAGATAGCAATAGTTATATATGGTATTTAAGAAATGATCGAAACGCTAAGGTAACTTGTGAGGACAAAATGTATATATTATCTATATAAGTATAGTAGTACTGTCTGTTGTATGTCCATGTAACTACTTCTATATAAATATAATAGTACTCTCTGTTGTATGTCCATGTAACTACTTCTATATAAATATAATAGTACTCTCTGTTGTATGTCCATGTAACTACTTCGCAGGGTGTGGAAGGATCTTCACTAAAATTGGTATAGAGGCTCATTAGGTTCATGTGGAGGGTGCATACAAATTTTCAGTTTTGCATTTTGCGGTTTTTATGGGCGTTTTTTTACCACTACTTCGCCTCCTGTTGATGGATCTTCACCAGATTTGACATGAAGGTGCTGATGGATTTAATATCATATCTATTTTAATACCGATGTTTGTTTAAGATAAATTTTTATTTCGTGATCTACATAAATTCCCGCCTATTCACTAAAATTGTAGAAAATTCTCGAGTGTAAGAATCAACAATATATATGTGTGTACGTAAAAACTGATGTATCGTTTATATTGTTGCGTAAGCTGAAGTTTCGAGAAACTTTCCTCACGCCTATAAATATATCCAGCGAGTCGCGCCAAAAGACAGTATATATTATTGGTTCGCTATAATTGGTGGGCAATAAACTTTGGAAACTATAACTGTGATTGTTATAACACTTATTAATCGGGAACTTCAGATACTTGACCAGGAACGTTTATAGATTTCGAATATTACAAACCATTTAACTTCAGGGGGTTCACGTCGGACATTAGTACTTTTACAAAAAATATTATATAACTTCAGCGGTAGACACATCGGCATGGTCAGACGCTCGACTCGCAATCTGAGGGTCGCGGATTCGAATCCCCTTTCCACCATAGATGCTCGCCCTTTCAACTGTGGGGATGTTATAACATGACGGTCAATCCCACTATTCGTTGGTAAAAGAGTAGCCCAAGAGTTGGTGGTGGGTGGTGATTACTAGCTGCCTTCCCTCTACTCTTTCAATGTTAAATTAAGGACGGCTAACACAGATAGCCCTCGTGTGGCTTTGCGCGAAATTCAAAGCTAAACCAAAGCTTGGTGCAGGTTCTTTGTATTTATGGTTTAAACACCGAAAAACTGGCGAAGCCTAATAAATGTTATAAAAATCTCAACTTTTGTCACATTAATCTCGCTTTAACCACTTCAGACTTGAAATCATATATGTGTAAAAATAGCATGTCAGAACTTACACAATTCACTGCCTAAGAGTGTTTTCTTTAATACCAGAGCTCGTCAACTAGGCTGGACGACAAAAGAAACATATTTATCCCAAACGCTATTTACATACATGCAATATAGGAGTTTCAAAAGGAATTGGAAAAAAAAATTGCCGTTTAAGTGGCTTTTATTACAAATATTAAGCCTTATCAGGTTCTCCATACTGTTTAGTCTAACCTTGATTTCTTAATTATCTTGCTGTCACAAGTTTTCATATCGTGTAGTGTAATGTTTGTTTCTATACCACTTTGTTTTATATTGTTTCTTTATATTTTTCACTGTCATTTTATGTTTTACAATATCTTGCAGTTACATATTATTTGTAATTTGTAATGCAATGTATTGTGTAATGTAACGTTATGTTGTATATATAAAGTTCTTTGGAACATGTTTTCTAACGTTATCAGATATAGTATATTGTACATACAGATTATATTCAACGTGTGTGTGTGTGTTGTAGCATTATATTACACAGCAGTTTGGAACTACAGACTCTCCACTGTATATATCATTAAAGATGAGGTCTAAGTAGAAGTTACTAAAAATACAAATCTGTACTTTCGAATTTAACCATTTTATGGCCTAGACTCCTTCTCGTTAATAAATACCTAAAATGTACGAAATAAAATCAGAGTCGAATAATATTTACCTAAAATGAAAACAAGTGAAGTTATACAAACCTTTTGTATTAAAGCTTCGTTTTCTTCATGTTTTTCTCGTTAATCGACCCCAGCTTTCCATTAGATAAGGTAGTAATGTTAGAGTCTAGGAAACAAAATTATAAGAGTTAATTATATGAGTTACGAGTAATCTCTCTTTTTGAGAAAGAAAAATTATTTATAAGATGAAGTAATTAACTGCTAAATGTATACTTGAATACAAATTAATTATTCACTAAGACCATTTGTATTTTATTTTGGACTTATTTGATGTATATAAGTGTTTGATGTTAGAAAACATTTTAAGCTGACTAGATGACAGCGATTGCGAAGCACAGTGCTTATTAAGATCTGAAGTATGTACGAATGAAACTTATAGTGGTTTAGTCAGCTATGGGCTTTTTTTTTTCTTCTTCAAATCGAAAGGAGAAGATTTCAAATCAGAGCGCCAGCTTAATCTTGAAAGATTCAAACATGAGACTTCTGAGGAAATGAGTAGAAAATTATTTTCCGATGTTTTCGAGCTTACTTTGTATACCAAACCAAGCAATAACGTAGGTTACCTCATCGACTTTGGAATTGGCTGCTCTGATAATTAGGTTTGTTTGGAGAATTTGGTTCTGTCCAAATCTTGATTAAGAACGAATGAGATTTGTTTACGGAATGTCTCTAACAAATGAAATTACGTTTTCGGTGTGGGAACAACGTACATAAAGTGGAACGTCACAGAATAACCATACTGAGAGGAAAATGAAACATGTTCGCTGATTAAGGGACTTAACTCAGATGTTCTATTTTAACAGTGAAGTCATATCCTAATGAAAACGTACACTACTCGTACTAAAATACCAAAACAAGAGATAAAGACAAGGTTTCCAAACTAAAAACACACAGAATCAACATTTATAAAGGAATCGGATAAAAAAATTGGAGTTCAAAAAAGCGTAAAAATATAAAATGAAACGAAGTAATGTAATTTTAAGTGCACCTGACAATAAATCGTAACGTTTCTTTACCTCCATTCATACTTGTCCATTTATTTTCTGTTGTCTTGGTTTTGTTATTATAGAATTACCTTGATAAAGAATAGTAACACTATAAAATCCACTTTCACTGCAAATATTGAACCCATATTTGTACACTAGTACACACTAACTGAAAAGCGTACATAGAAGTTTTACATGGATTATATAAGTGTTCTAGTATAGACTCTATCTGAGAAGTGTACGTATAAGGTTTGTGTAGATTATATAAATGTTTTAGTATAGACTCTATCTCAGAAGTGTACGTATAAGGTTTGTGTAGATTATATAAATGTTCCAGTATAGACTCTATCTGAGAAGTGTACGTATAAGGTTTGTGTAGATTATATAAATGTTCCAGTATAGACTCTATCTGAGAAGTTTACATATAAGGTTTGTGTAGATTATATAAATGTTCTAGTATAGACTAACTGAGAAGCGTACATAGAAAGTTTACGTGGATTATATATATCCATATATATTATTACAGACTTACCGAGAAACGTACATATAAGTTTAACGTGGATTATAGAGGTCTCTTGGAATAATTTCCACTTGTTTATCGTTAAAAACGAAACACGAGGTAGCATATCTTAAAGCATCAGAAAATTTCCCATTGTTTGATATACGTCTCTAGCGTACTGTTTTCTTAAGAAATATATAAGCTGTCCTGGTGTGGATTTATTATTTCTTAATCGTTTAATATATACTCCTTTCAACGTTTCTGTTGGACAAAAAGTCTGTATTTATAGTGTTTTCTAGTGTTTATAGTAAAGCCTTGACACATTCCTTGCGTGAAACGTGTTCGTTAAACATTAAGAATACTTTGTCACTTATGAAACTATCATAATTATAACATTAATTAAACTAGTTACATATTCTCAAGTCCACTGCACTGAACATACTACTTAATTGAGGTTTTATATGGATGTCCACATCGAAATGAACTTCAAACTACTAAGTTAAAATGCATATATTTTCATGTGATTGTAGGAATAGTAAAGATTAGATGCTAACGAACATGCCTCAAAATAATTTTCATTAAAGTAGTAAGAAGCAAAGACACTAAGTTAAGGAGTATTTAAATTTACCCTTAAATTATGATAACGAATTTACTTTTTAATACTCTAAGAAGTCCTAATTATATGAAAAATTATCTTTCGTTTAATCTAAACTGATTCAAATTATGTTAAAAAAACTGAAAGTATCACTATCTTTTCCGTTCTCTCTCTCCCTCAATATATATACCAGCGACAGTACCCAGCTTCGCTCGGGTAATTAGGTTGATAGTGTGTGTATTCTGAATCCATTTTAGCATAAAAGTATAACCTATACACTTTTGTTGCTAAGCAACATAACACAAAAGCCATTGTTGGAACGCATTGTTACCAAAACACACTGGTTTTTCTATATATTAGAAGTTGTTATATAAGGAACCACTTCTTTCCTATGTGACTTTTCTCTAGCTTGCCTCATTAAAAAGAATTTACCGAAGTTTGACTGCCTCGACTGCACCTTTGTGCCTCTTTGTTGGTCAAGCTTGATTTCACAAAATTTATTTATTTCAGTTCGCTACCAAATGTGAGGTTAGGGTATACTATGGGGTAGGGGTAGTAGTAGTTGCCCCGTCATTTTTGACGGGCTATACGCTAGTCCCATAATAGTTAAAACTACCCTATAACAACCATAATATTTCAAAAACCACTCTACAACATTCTATAATAGTTAAACAACCACTACAATATAATAGTTAGAAAACACTCTATAACACCCCATCATAGTAAAAAAATATTGTATAACATCCTATAATAGTTTGAAAAACCACTATAACATCCTATAATAGTCAAAACACTAATATTTCATGGCGGACACATTTCTTTTCTATCTAGTTTTTCGCATAAGAAGATGATTACGCGCGCACGCACGTAGACAAGCAATAATACCCAGGTGCATATCTTTAGAGTCCACTTAGTATGGGTGCAAAATTTCAGATTTCTAGGTTCTTTGCTTTTGGAGCTATGGCGGTCACATATTCTTTTCTATGTGGTTTTTTTGCTAGCATGCCTCATTAAAAAGACGCGCATGCGCGCACGCAAGTGGATAAGTAACGATACTCAAGTGCACACCGAGCACGTGAGTGTCTGTCTGATTTCTACTTTTAATATAAAAAACACTTGTGGTTTTTCGCTACCTTGCCTCATTATAAACATATGCACGCACATGGATAAGATAAGTAATACCCAGGTGCACACTCTCAGGGCCACTTAGTATGGGTGCACAATTATAGGTTTTTAGGTTCTTTCTTCGTGGAGCTATGGCGGTCGCACTTTTTTCTATGTGGTTTTTCGCTAGCTTACCTCATTAAAAAGATGCGAAAGCACATGCGCGCACGCACGTGAATACGTAACATTACCCAGGTGCACACACTCAGGGTCCACTTAGTATGTGTGCAAAAGTTTAGATTTCTAGGTTCTTTCTGTTGAAGTTTTGGCGGTCACACACACACACAGACACGCCCTTTTATTATTATAAATATATTTAAAGAGGATCAGGAAGACTTTGAATTACAGTTTTTTCATGAATTTTCTGAATATAAGTAAAAACTAAATCAGCAGTTGTATAGTTATAAAACGCTTGCCATTTAATATTAGAAGCGGAAAAAAATGTCCAATAAATAACTCACGTGTGAATGAAATTATTAAACTCATTTTATTAATAGTACTTGTCATTAAATATTTTAAGCAATCAAATTTTTAAACTAGAAATTCAGGTTTAAGGCTGACACACAATTAAAAGTATAATCAGTGATACTTACCAGACTAAAGTAAAGGTACTACCAATGATATTTGTCCGAATAAAGAATCCAACCTAATGCTAACACACATAAGCAAATGTATGAAGGATACTTGTCGGACTAAAGCATCTAACTTAATGCTAACACACATAAGTGAATGTACAATCAATGATCCTTGTCGGACTAGAGAATCCAACTTACCACTAACACACATAAATATATGTACGATCAGTGATACTTGTCGGACTAATTAATCCAACTTAATGCTAACACACGTAAATAACTGTACAACGAAGGATACCTTATCACATCGATACAGTCGTGATTGATCTTTAACATGGTGTTGCAGCTGTCATCTTTGTCACGTTGTTACAGCAGTCACCTTTAACACTTAGATGGTGATCTTTACCACACGGTTTCAGCGGTTATAAACGATGAACTATAAGTTGAAAATATATATAAAAGATATAATCCGTTATTTAAAAACGTCTTCTCTCAATAAATGTTTCAATATATGTCAGAACAGTATAATTAGACTGGATGATTGCGTAGATTATTACACAAATCTACATAACAGCTATCTATCTTAGCCGTTTCTAGTTTTGGACTGATAGACTAGATGGAACGCAGGTAGTCAAAAGGTGCCAACCGCCAACATTTGGAATACTCTAATCACAGCCCCATATGCTAATACTAGGCCACTCCTAACCCAGTTCTAATTAGAGTTTACACTTGTACTTGATTGAGTAACAGTATAGTGTTTAACTAGGATGACTGGTTGATTGGAGTGTCGTTAAGTTCAAAGGGTTATCCGTGCTCTGCCAACCACGGGTATCGAAATCCGACTTTTAGCGTTATAAGCTTGCAGACTTACCGAAGAGCCATTGGGGCAACTAGAATGATATCGTCTTTACACATTTTTTAACTGTGAAGAGAGGATTAAAACTTTTCCCCAATAAAATGTACAAAAGCTACTTGATTTAGCGGTTTGAAAATAGTATTGTTAGAGACGTGGTTTATCAGCCTCATAATGTTCATAAGAGTTTTGAAAGAGCATTGTTGGAAGCTGATGGGGTGAATATTAAAGTAATTAGTAAAAAGTTTGAAAGTCGAAAGCTTAGTTAGTTTTATTAACCTATGAGATAGATCACCTGTTCAATGGTGGGACTAATAGGTTTAATTTGTTCGAATATGTTTTGATATGACTCTTAAGAAATTTGGATTGATGGGATTTATGGTTGTTGTCAAAATGAAGGGTACTATGTGTCTCATTGGTGTCACAACCTTACCATGGTTCTGTGAATACAACAAGTATTATATATTAGTAAAATATTCAGCTATATACAAAAAAATATAGATGCCAAATTAAATGTAAAAAATATCTATTAATGTTCAATCTATAATGACTAAACTTAGTCATAAAATATGACTATTCAAATATTAAGAAAATGTAAATTATACGGATGTACATAAAAAGTGATTTGAGGTGTAAAATTTGAGTAATCTCAAAAAGAAAGAACAACTAAAACTGGTTGACGTAAAATATTTTAGCATACTGTTATTATTATTGAATATTTATATAGAACAAATATTCATATTATAAAACATTTGCTGTTTGTCAGACCTTTTACATTTTTTTTCCATGTAAAATGAAGACCTCAATATATTAGTGCAAAATCTGACTCAGTAATCTCAAGAATTAATACTTCTCAAATGTGTTATATGTCACAACCCCTCTCTACTTAACACATAACTCCAAATATTAGAATATGAGAGTGGTGTTTATATTTCTATTTGTGAATAATATGAAGAAGTTTTATTATTTGAAACTGAAAGGTTCTATGAAAAGTCATACAGTTTTATTAATATATAATATGTGTTATCCGATCATATGTGACTTCTGATAAACCAAAATGGAAAGTTATTTATTTGACTTTATTCAATTAACATGAGTGACTTATAAGTTAGAAAAATTGATATTCAATATATATATATATATATATATATAAATTGATATTCAATAAATATATATATATATTTCATAGTAAGTCATTTTCCTTGTGGTAGTATTTTTTCTGTAATTTATGTTGAAATTAGACGTTGTGGGGGCCAAAAGTGGCTCAGTGTTTAGTGTGTCTGATTCTGGAGCTGGGGTTTCGTGGTTTAGAGGCCCCTTAATTTTGGGTCGTGGGCGGGTTATAAAAGTGACAGTGAAACCAAGCGTGGTGATAACTAACTGTCTTCCGTATAATATATCACTTCAAATTAACCCTCATGTAGCTATGCACGGAATTCAACAAACCGAAAATGCAAATAAACTAGACTATATTAACTTAAGGTTAATAACAGCCCTTTTCAAAGCTATGTAGATAACGCAAAATGAATGTAAGTTAAAACTAATGCTTTAACATAAGCCATGAAGTGCATTATTGAAAAACTACAGAATATATTTGTAAAACAAATACAAAAAAATAAATAAAACGTTGTTATCATTACACTATCAGACGTTTCATTCGTGAAGTTTAATTTTTGACTTATTAAAATTAGTATCACAATATGGAATGTTGACCATGAAGTTCTTTTAGTTATGATCAAGATGCAGAGTACTGTGTGAAATTTTACAATGAGCTAATCATAATGTTTTTTGTCCACTTTGTAACTATATCGTGAGTCACTCTTGTCAACTATAATTATATTACTGATCACTTACTATTATAATCATCTCATAATTTACGTAATTAGTTTTATGGAATGGTATAATCAAATATATAAAAAACATATATAAAATCACGTGATGACATCAGTTAAGTTTTAATGACTTATATACAGTCATCTGATTAGCAAAAGCATAATCAAATAAAGAGTTAAGTCTTAATCATGTCGAATGATCTGATTATCCATTACATTCAAAATGACATAATTAAATCCATTACCGAGCACTCTGGTGGGCGCACATGGAACTATGTCTGTTTCTTTCTTCTTCTTCTTCTTTCCTTTTTGGACCTGATAGTTATTTGAATAATTTGTTAAATATTAACTATTCAACAATATAATTATCCAGGTGGTCGAAGATTAACTCAACCCTCATTCGCCCTTATAGCAGTGTTAAAGCTTAAAGTGGAAAAAAAAAAGTTCAAGGCTGAGGGAACAAAGAAGGCAAAGCTCACTTTAAATTGACAAAAACCTTAAGAAATGGTACCTTTTGAAGGACTGACAGGGGTCTATAAATCCAATACCCTAAATTTTAGATGTGGGGGAGGGGGAGTACCCCGAGAAAACCCACTTTCACTGATCGAGCGCCGAAAGATCAAATCGGTCCGTGCCCAGATATTGTGTACGAAGGGATAAGGACTTTCTGACTTGGAATTGAAGAAAACTAAAAAACATAAGAATAGGTTAGTGCTATGTAGAGATTGTAATAAGTCTGTTATACGCCCAGGAGATCTGTGTTGTGTTATACGTCCAGGAGATCCGTGTTGTGTTATAAGATCATGTTATAGAGTGATATATTTTTCTCCCATGACGCTGATGTAGCAGCGATTTGAGGAACTGTGTATCTGTTCTCTGGTGATTTCCTACAAAACTAATACGATACACCACCTGGTGTGATATTTCTCAACTACGTAATAAATCGCTTAAAAGTTGTTTTTTTTTTCCTTCTTGCATAGTTACAGTTTTTTCACTGGCTCGCGATCATAGTTTAAAGTTAATTATGTGTAGTAGGCCTAAATGAATGATTTGCTTCATTATAAAAGTAATAATCACATGTTATGGGAAACCTTTTCACTATTACTGTATTGTGTTAGTGGTGTACTTACAAGACATGTGTGTACTAAGAAGCACCCCCCCCCCCTCAGTAGCACAGTGGTACGTCTGCGGACTTACAATGCTAGAAACCGTGTTTCGATACCCGTGGTGGGCACAGCACAGATAGCCCATTGTGTTGCTTTGTACATAATTGCAAACAAGCAAGTGTACTGGAAAACCAGAGTGATTTAATTTTGTTTCCTCATACAGGCTAACATTTTAACTTCACAATGTTTGTTTGAAGTTAATCACAAAGCTACACAATGGGCTATCTGTGCTCTGCCCACCACGGGTATCGAAATCCGGTTTCTAGCGTTGTAAGTCCGCAGACATACCGCTGTGCTACTAGGGGGCACTTCACAATGTAATTTCCTTTCTATTTTAAACTGTGATAGGACACTGATTTGTTAGACAAGCGGCAATATTTTCACCAAGAGAAAATATCACTTTGAGCATCTAGCAAGCAATATACATAACTATATTGTTGTTATTTTACCCGCAAAGCCACTCAGTCCATCACGGAGAATCGAGCCACGGATTCTAGCGTTATAAGTCCGTAAACTTACTGCTGGCCCAATAAAGATTATATAAACGGTTTTGTAAATACAAAGATGGGATTCTGCATATAAAACATTACAGATTTCTATCTGCAATTTTACAAAGCTGACCAATTTTTTTGTCTCGGTAAAAGCGTTTCAATAACATCAAATCAAATTATACATTATCACAAAGCTACGGGTTTGGCAGTTTGTTTCAGAAATCATACACACACGTGTTCTTCCTGCTCCTTTGAAATGTTAGAAGCAAACAAGATGAAAAATTTATGAATTAGCTTTAACTGGAATGTTCATTTACATCATCCTGTTTTGTATGAGATTTTAAGTGCTGAAAGCAAAAATAAATGTATGGATCACCCTAAACGGAATATCAATCATTTACATCATCCTGTTTGGTATGAGTTTTTTTAAATCATTGTGAAAACTGGCATCCTCATGTCTACAAACTACATAGATCCATTCATGTGTTTGTAAAACTCACCTCATAGCATTTTTTCTTTAACTTTAGTCAGAGGAATATGAACTGCCTTTAAAAGATGTAGTTCTTCTTCGCCTAATGTAGTACAACTGTAAAAATCGAAGCAAAGTAATGTTTCAGTCAACATTAGCTCGGCAATAATCGCAATCCAATCACAAAACTCACAGGATGTAAAATTTAAGAAAATACTTCCAGCTTAATCTTGTGTCAGTTAATTCTTTTAGTTGAAAATGTTGTGAAAAGTGACTACCTACATTTGCAGCTTGAATGTTTTCATCAAAACATTTTATAGAACCGTAAAGGAGATACGTGTTAACAGCCTTCATGACCCCGATACTAGCCCTTTGGTCAAAACGCTGATCGTAATGTACTCTTTCTCTGAAACACATCTTCTAACCTGCTGCTCTAATTGTGTGTTGTTGCACTTTAGGTACTTATATTGAAACAGTCAGGTGGTTGTAACGATTAATTTATGAATGTTTTATTATTCGGTAACGTGGTATAACTTCACCGCATTTACTGATATACAACGTTCAATTAATAGTATAACATTAATTTGACTAACTAATAGTAAAACTCATAAACAAGACTTACGAA